TTTTTTTATTTGAACATTCGCCGTATTGTTTGATCACACCTTGTACACAATGTGAATTTCCTGGTTTTGATAATATACTATAGTTGTGAGAGATCCATTTGGAGAATCTAGATGATGGCTATACAGGACCCTTCTGTGCTATTTTTACAACATCTTTTGAGACTACAATTATTTCAAAATGAAAAGTTAAAATAAAAATTGAGGTACAAAGAGGGGTTAAATAATTTGCTTTAAGGTCACACTGATAGAGAATAAAAATTAAGCATAAATATATGAGATGGAAATAGTTACTTAGTGATTAACTAAAATCAATTCTTTCAACATAGATTCATTCAGAAACACCTAAACACCTGCTACATAAATGAATAAGATACAGTCACTGCTTCAGAGGAGCTCTAGCCCAGGTGGTCCTCATTTATTGAGCTTCTACCATAGGAGCAAAGGTAAGAAAAAATTAAAGGCATAATCCTTACCCTCAAAGGAAAAATAGAAAATTTTCAATCATATCCCTAGGAATATATACAGGTGAGTACACAATGTACATATTCAACCCCAATTTGTGGAGTGCCTTCACACATACACAAAACTGTCTAATTTTCTATTTACTTATGAAATTTAAAAACTGAGGTGGAAAAGATAAGCTTGACTAAAATTAAATTCTAAAGTTATATAGCTCTTAGTGTCACTCCATAGTGGGTATCTTTTCCTCTTTGCTCTTATAGTTCACTTTGTATGATATACACTTTAGCAATTGCATATATATTGTTCTCTGCTGTTCCTGAATGTCTTTTACCTCCATCTGTATTTTGAGCTTATTAAGAACTGTATTTTCTTTCCAACACCATGTTCCAGGGCACATAATTAATAATGAATAAATGCTAGTTGACTTGTACTCTGCCAACAATATGTTACTACCATAAAAAATTAGCTACAATATTTGTAGGAGGCAGAAATTGATTAAATTTGATTTAACTAATAATAATGGGGTTACTGAGTACAAAGTAGAAGATATCTTACTAGCTACTATATAATCCTAAAACATTAAATGATAATGATATATGTAACAAATTAATATTGCAGCTAAATAGCTTAAAGCTATGACTCTACCAGTTGTTTTTTTTTAAAAACTCTCCTCAACTACTGAATATTCTACTTGTCTAAAAAAAGATGATACCTGTTTGTAAACTTCAATTCTATAAGAAACCATTTTCTAATATGAGATTAAATATAAAAAAAGGAATAACTTTTTTGGTCCTTATTGTAGTTTGCCATTAGTTTCAGCATATTATGCTAATCCAAAAATTTAAACATCTTGGTAGACAACACATATGAGTAATTCAGTAGATTTAGGTCTGAATTTTTCTGTCCTAGCTTAATGAATAGAAAAGAACTACAGTTACAGAACACATAAAGGACTCTAACTTATTCAAAGATAGGCTCTTAAAATATTAATGAATCAAATGATATAGATCAAATATAGGTCAGATCCTGCTAGGTTTTAAGTTACAAGTTTTTATAATTTTTCCAGGTTATTAATTAGCATTCTTTAATTCTCCTACTGTATATTTAACAAAATTAGAATTCATCAGTGCTATATAAAGATTTCACATACACATACATAATTACATATACAAAACTTTAATAGCCAAATTGACTTTTCCAGGAAAAAATTTGTCTTGTTGGCGAATATGCTCATATGCCTTCTTTTATATTTGGACTTTCAATTGATAAAGTATTATGACTACAATGCAAATTATAATGCTATTTTCCTCCTGTTCTTTTCCTATATGGAGATTATGAAAATCCAGAAACTTAACACATGAATTTAGAGCAGTTCTTCCTGCCCTAAAACATCTTAGCTTTCTGGGAAAACTAATGAACCCAGAAAACCCTCCTCTAAAAAGCAGGGTTCAGGGAACTGTAAATCTTTCACATTAATGTCAGCATACTCGTCCAAAGGGCCAAGTGTCTTGCTCAAAGGCATATGTGTATGTTAAACAGAGCAAGGTTATATTAATCTCATGCAATTCTTTCCAGGCCTCAAAAGAGGAATTCTGTCCTTTCTGAGCTTATAATAATCAAATTAAAAATTCTTCGCAAGATCGGAAAAAGAAATGAAAATGAACCAGAAGAAAGAATATGAGGGCCGGCCAAGTGGCTCAGCTGGTTAAGAGCTCACTTGGGACACCAGCTCTGAGCAGCAGGGCTGCGGTTCGGATCCCACATTGAGGGCCAGTGACACTGCGCCCTCTACAGCTAAGATGGTGAACAACAGCTCGACCTGGAGCTGGGCTGCTGTGAGTCGCCGGCAA